CCCCTCTTTGGTCTCCAATTGCCTCTCTATAATGTCGTTAACACCCCCTGTTGACATTTTTTTGCTAAATATTCTTTACGGTGCCATTTCCTACAGTCAGCATCTCGAGATGGGCAGTCTTTCCAGTGATGTTTCTTTAAGTTCCTGCATCTGCCACATCCCGATGAGTAGTTCTCTGTTTTCTTTTTTAAAAGTTGTCTGCATTTTTCTGTCATTTCTGTGTAAAGATTCCACGTGTCCTATTGGCTGCTCTGCTCCGCGTAGTATTGGGTGCTGCTTTTTCACCGCTGCGCTCTGTCTTACTCTTGTTATAGCTTCTCTAGCAACACAGTTTGGTGTTGCGTATGCCGACGATGATCCGGTCTCTTATCAAACCTTCTTTTAGTGCTCTGAAATCACACAGCTCAGCAAGTGAATGAACCGCTGTAATTAACGACTACACTCTTCCCCAGCTCTTGATTTTGCTTGTTGAATCTCGCTATTTCAAAAATGATATTACGTTTGCTAAGACAATGTTTATTAAAAGCTTCAGTAACTGCAGCATACAATTCCTTTTGATCCTCAGTCAAGGGTAACACATACAAAATCTCTTCGGCATCTTCGCCGGCAGCATACATGAACGTATTTATCTGGTATTCTTGTGATTGTTTATCCAATCCCGATGCAATTCTTGGCCATTCAGCTGTATTGGTGAAGTCGAACTTGCCTGGCGGTGCCAGCTGTGAGGTCAACATTGGTGGGGCTGGCACTTCTCTCTCCATTTTCCCCTTAGACTCCTTATATGAGTGCTCTTCAAGTTTAGTTCATTGTTACCCTACTACTCCATCACTTCTGACACCATGTAACCATTCTGACAGAACGGTAACAACAGTGGAGACATTCAGGTTCCTGGGCACCACTATCTCTCAGGACCTGAAGTGGGACATTCACATTGACTCCATTGTGAAAAAGGCCCAGCAGAGGTTGTACTTCCTTCGCCAGCTGAGGAAGTTCAACCTGTCACAGGAGCTGCTGAAACAGTTCTACTCTGCTATCATTGAATCCATCCTCTGCACTTCTATAACTGTCTGGTTCAGCTCAGCTACCAAATCTGACCTCAGAAGACTACAGAGGGTAGTCCGGACTGCTGAGCGAATCATTGGTACAACCCTCCCTTCTCTCCAAGAACTGTACTCGTCCAGAGTGAGCAAAAGGGCTGGCAGAATCACTCTGGACCCCTCACATCCAGCACACTCCCTCTTTGAACTGTTGCCATCTGGTCGACGCTACAGAGCTCTGAGCACCAGAACGACCAGACACAGGAACAGTTTCTTCCCTCAGGCCATCCATCTCATGAACACTTGACAATAATCGTGGAGCACACAACACTAACATATGTATTTAACATACATACTTATTTACATTTCAAATTTGCACATAACATACCTGAACATACAAAATTGTCTATTTTGTATATTGTGTTTTTGCTATTTTGTACATTGTCTATTTATATATTTCTATTTTATTATATGTTTTGTTACTGTCATTCTGTTGCACTGTGGAGCTTCTGTCACTACAACAAATTCCTCATGTGTGAAAACATACCTGGCAATAAAGCTCATTCTGATTCTGCATACACTATGCTATAATAACAAGCCGGACACATGTAATGCTCACTGTCACATATTTACTCAGGAACTGATGTCATGATAACCGTGTCACACCATCCTAGGTCCCTAGAACAACATTAGTCTCACTGTCATTGTACCCTTTACAGAACAAACGTCAGACGAGTGTTTGAAATAACTTCATTTTGTGATCTGATGAGTGGTTTTTGTCACAGAACGAGGCAGAAAATATATTCTGAATGTGTGAGGAATATCGAAAACAAAATTAACTTAACCCCGTTGTGAATGCATGTGTTCAAGTTAACTATCTTGAATGAATTTGAGCGGTGTTCGAATTGTCAAAGCTCTTGGGGGTCACTCTAACCAGCCCCCCACCCCCTTCACAATAATAAAAAAATAAATAAAATAAAACTCTATATATACTTATGATGCATATTTTTTGTCGTTATCATTGAGAAAACCTAATTCTAAGATAAAAGATTATTTTATGATGATCAGTGAATTAGGTGTACCAAACAATCACTAAGCAAAGAAGAATTAAATATCTAGCCTAGGGTGTGCGATGTTGACAAAAAAATGATATCTCTGTATTTTCTGGGATTTTCAGACGATATTTTGCTGAGTGTGTTGTGCTGCAGGACTGTCATGGACAGCTGACTCTGTGTGGTGGTCAGTACACAGCAGTGGCAGAAATTAATCTTTTCCAACAAGTTTAAAATGATTTTTACCCTTTATGGGCATTTTTACCTTTGTAAAGCCATTTTTTTTTCTAGAAGTGTCAAATTCTTACATTTAATCAATAAAGTCAATTACAATAATAAGTCATTTGGGGCTGTTACCAAACAAATAAAATCGTTATCAACAAAATTCATGCAATGCAGAGGAAACACAGAAGCTGCATCTGAAATGGCATTTAGATGCATATACACACTGTTTGATGCAAGGCATGAATGCTTTAACCTGCAGTTACAAATGCATAAATAATGTTTTGATATTTAAATCTTAAAATGTTGAATGCTGATATTTGAAATGATTTTAAAAAATATATAAAAATGTACTTTAAAATGTCAAATTCAATCCGCCAGTAGGTGGCAGCAAGTCACTGTTAATAAGTGAGTCATTGCGATTGAACCGAATCATTTAAACGGTTGATTCATTCAGGAACAAAACGCTGTCTTTTTTTCAGAGACGCAAAACAGTGCTGTGGCTTTGTTTGGAACCATTTTTTGTTGGCGAAATAGAGCAAAAAATAAGCAATATGGGGTCTAAAACGTAAGTCTCTTAATATGAACTTCTTGTTTATTGAACTGTTGTATAAAATCAATATCACATTTGTGATTTTTGCGGTCTGAAATGGCATTTAGATGCATATACACACTGTTTGATGCAAGGCATGAATGCTTTAACCTGCAGTTACAAATGCATAAATAATGTTTTGATATTTAAATCTTAAAATGTTGAATGCTGATATTTGAAATGATTTTAAAAAATATATAAAAATGTACTTTAAAATGTCAAATTCAATCCGCCAGTAGGTGGCAGCAAGTCACTGTTAATAAGTGAGTCATTGCGATTGAACCGAATCATTTAAACGGTTGATTCATTCAGGAACAAAACGCTGTCTTTTTTTCAGAGACGCAAAACAGTGCTGTGGCTTTGTTTGGAACCATTTTTTGTTGGCGAAATAGAGCAAAAAATAAGCAATATGGGGTCTAAAACGTAAGTCTCTTAATATGAACTTCTTGTTTATTGAACTGTTGTATAAAATCAATATCACATTTGTGATTTTTGCGGAAAAAAAATGGCACTCTTCGTGTGATATTGATCAACTATATAAAATTATATAAATATATATATTTTCTGCCCCCATTTCTTGAATTTTGGGAGCATTCTAAATACATTTTATTATACTGAATCATGCAGTGAAAGAACACACTCTAAATGAGCATTCAGTCTAGCTAGTGTTTAAGCACTCATAACTCCTCTCATAATCAATGAAGCTGTCCATGCACTGTATGATAAATTAATCTCTAACTTACATCGTACGTACATCTGCACTTTGTTGCTTATGATGAGGGAATTCACGAGTTTCAGTCTGAACAAAACTCTGGGGTTTCAGCGATGACTGATCTGAACGCCTCTGATTGGCTACTGCATTGCTAAGCTCAACAGAATCATGTGTGATTGGTTATAATGAGCAACGCTGTAAAAACGCGTAAAATTAAAATGATGTAACATGCAGGTCTAAATTTAATACAGCAATTGAAACTTCATTTTAAGTATTACAGTTTTATTGAAAAACCAGGGGACCCCCCCCCTAAGTATATTTTTTGGGGTGTTATGAGGTGTCTTAAAGCTTATGGGAGGTCCGGGACCCCCCCAGCCCCCCCTCAATTCGAACACTGAATTGGAGGTGAAGTCCATAAGGGGAGAAAATTTCTCTCGCTAAATTCTCGATTGCACAAATCCTAGTGAGATGATGATGTTTGCCTGCCGAATTCTCCATTCATTAGCTATTGAGCAACGCGAAAGTTGCTGATAATACTGAAGGACCTTATATATGAATGCTGAGATAGGAGTCGTATTCCTATAGGTAGACGTGGATCAGCTGAGAGTCAGCAGATGCACGCTTGACTAACATGACCTGCCAGAACTAACACTATGCTTGATATTGTTGCATCGTGTGTTTTCCATCTACATGTTTGATCAGTTCAAGCATTTATCTTCTTTTTATTCAGTCACAGCAGTAGCAGTATGCTTTTGCCCATATTAGGGATTTCCTGGAGCATCATCGGTCATTTCTTTTCAGTATTACACATTGAACAGTGGTTTGTGAATGTTGATGCTTAGCCTAAATAATTTTATCGGGTGAGCGCTCCTGCAGTCTTAGGCCCACCCCAAATGCTCTCATTGGTTGAGACACGTGATGACGCTCATCCCAAGCCAGTACTGATCAACATCCCACCCCTCCTGTGACCCATGGTTTGTCTGTAGGCTATATGTATTCAGAGCAACAGGCTTTCAAAATAAAAAAATAAAAAAACAGTGTTAATGCGCGATAAAATAATTAATTAAATAATTAACAATTTAACTTGCCCAGCCCTTATATACAGTATATATATATATATATATATATATATAATATGGAGATACCTGAATTTAACAAATACTATAGACATACAGGTTCTTTAACAACAACTGGCTAATGAGTGCTCTACCTCATGTTTGCGTGTTAATTTTGTCAGTGTGCATGCAACAAATGTACATTTTTATTAAAATGTCTAACTGCATTTATTTCTTATGACCATCATTGAGGAAATCATATATTTTTGGGAGTATTTCTCCATTCAGAAGTATATCTGATGTCCATGTATTTGTCGTTAATTGCTTCAGCGGTTCAGCAGCGTTGGTGCGATGCTGGTCTTGACCAAGTCCCTGGAGGGCCCACAGGAGCTGATCGTTGATCTGGAGATGATCACTCAACACACAGCAATGAACTATCGCTCAAGCTCTTTCCTGCGGCTCACCATCATCGTGGGACCCTACCCCTTCTAACAATACTGCTGCTTCACACATTTATACACATCCAGACTGCTTGCATTAAAGTTACACGCAGCAACGGTGAGATGTTATGAACTGTTCTAATGTGTCTTCGTCTTGCAGTCATCATAAAATAAGCGGACTCTTATTCAGGGCTCCAGACTGCCACTAAAATGGTTGCTAATGTGACAAAGAAAATTGACATTTTATGACGATAGTTTAAAATCTAAACACTTTATTGGTTTGTCATATTTTATCATTGTCTGAGGCCGAGTCGCAGAGGGGTCATGAGCAGGGCAGATGGTGTAGAGAGGATATTTAGTTTGATGGATCTTCTTGAATGGATGCTTTTGAATGAACATCTACTGTATATGAAGGATGGGTGATGGGACAATAAACATACGTACAATTTCTCAAGAGCAATTTTTAAAGGGGACACAAATAATACAGCCAAAATTGTGCTTGTACATAGCATGGAGACCATGTTTAAAACTGAGTTTGGTTCATAGGTTCACCACGCGGTCATATTATAATTATTAAATTATTTTGTGTCCTCCACATAGTATTTTAGTTTTCGTCTGGGACAGCAAGCCCACTGCACTTAACATCATATTGAGCAAAACCCAACACATCGGTAGATCTACAATATTAGCCTAATGCCGTTGACCCCAGTCCTGCTAAAAGTTTGCCAACCCCTGGTATAGGCATCATATGTTGGTTTAATTACATTGCTAACCTATATTTTGCACTGATGACATGAAAGTAACATGATTCTGGCTTTGCATTTCCACATAATTCCTCTGCTTTCAAATAAATGGGCTTCAGCCTGACATTATTCGCTTGCTGAAACACAGATATCCATATCAACATCTCAGAGGCTTTAACAAGGATGAAAAAATACAACATTAGTATCCTGTTATTGAACTTTTTGGACTTCAATAAAAATAGATGTTTAATAGTTGACCATGATTATTTGTACACTGAACAAAAACAGTTAAAAATAAAGGGAAATTCATCAATTATCTTCTCAAATGTTTTTTTCCCCTCATGTTTTCCCTCCATAAGATTCATATAGTCATATAATGTTATAATCACTTCCTGTTTATCTAAAAACCAGTATGGGGGCTCAACACACCTTCCTGGAGTTTCTAATATTTCTGAAGACATTGATTAACTGGGTTAGTTGTGTTGAATTACAACTAAACTCTGCAGAAGAGTGGCCCTCCAGTAGCAGGTTTAGACACCAATGACCTAATGGAATTGCAAACAAATGCCAAATGAGTCTAATGACAGTGACACACATTATTGGATGGTCACGGCCTTTTTACAGAACAAGAGCCCACATCATTTCTCTTTCCAAGCAGAAAGAAAAAATAATTTCATCCTGAATCACTGAAAAAAATGGCTTCTTGCAATTTGACAATATAAAACATTTTAGCATTCTGGAAAGTCTTTATTTAAAGTTAGTATCAGTGTCTCCAAAATGTAGGCATGAAACTGCATGCATAAACGTATCCAGTAGAACAACATCACAGTTTCATCATGTCGTGATAGAATCTCTTCATCTCTTTACACATATTTTCATCTTGTTGAAGAAAGTACTGACATTGGTTGTACTGTTAGTGGTTAATAGGATTCAAACAAACAGGCAAATGCTAAAAAACAACGGTAACACTACACACTACTCAGGGTCAAACTGTCCATATCAAATATGTCACCCAGCTGCCACGCAAAAATACACTGTTTACAAGTTGAGAAAGCAGTAAACAAGTTGTCAGTTTCATTTGAGATAAACATTAATAAATAGAATAGCACGTATTTCAATGAAAGTACAGCAGTCACAGAGTAAAAACACAGAAATGAATGAGAAGATCATGTAAAAAAAAAAACCTTGGATAATTTCAATGGCGGTACCTAATTAACGGCACCATCATGCAAAGAGTCTTCATGCTGAGAAGAGGCGGGTAAATCTGACGAAAACTTTCGTCATATTTCACTCCAAAATCAGAAGGAGAAAAAAAAATGGTGATTTGCATAAAGAAGATGAAGCCTATTTAGGATCGTTACACGGTTTAGGCATGGTGACAATATTTCACCTGAACACTAAGCAATTATTACTGTATTACAGTACAAAAAAAAAAAAGTTAACACTATAGAGAACTGAGTCCTAAAACAGGCTTCATTTACTTTAAACAAACATTTTTTTTTCTTTCTTTGGATTTTAGAGTTAAACATGACCTGGACGTGCTTTGGACAGGTTCTTCGCAGGATCCATTGAGACACTCATTTATCAGTGTCCTCAAATGTCCCAATTAAGCAGATCAGCTACTCAAGTCAAGGACCAGGTGTTCATATATACGTGTTTGCCCCTTAAAACTAGAGCCAAGAAGGAACTCCCTGTTCTCAATAAACACCAGAGAAAAAGCCCTGGGTGCTTGAATGTTCAGTTCCTGGAATTGAATGAACTGTCTTTTCTTTGCATCCCAGCGATAGACCCGAGTAAAGGCGTAGTCGCTGCCTAGGATGGCGTACTGCCAGTCGGCTATCGAGAACGGCTGGAAGACCATGGAGCCACGAGAGGCCATGGTCTGGATCTCAGTGAACATGCTACCGTCCCATTTCATCACCTTGGAGTCGCCGATGAAGCGGGTCAGGCATATGTAGAGCTCGCTCTTCACGGTGAAGTGTTTGACCGCGTACACGTCCTCCATCTCTGGGATATCCGTACGCCGTTCGAACTGCTTAGTGCTCTTGCTCCACTGGTAAATGACCGGCCTCTGAGAGCTGCTGGACAAGATCAGATGAGGCTTCCCAGAAATCTCTAGATACTCCACATCCGTGTCGCGGTGCCAGGGGTGCAAAGACTGATGGGAGTAGAAGCCGTTGCCGTTCCATTTATAAATAGTTGTCGAGCCGGCTTTGGAGCTGTCGGCTATGATGAAGAAAGACTCTTCGTCGACGTGGAAGATTTCCACATCATTTGGTTTTCGGACTTTCAGAATGTCGATGTCTTGGATTTTGATGAATTTGTTTGCGGAGACATCTCGCTTGAAGATGTGCGAGCCGCCGAACAGTTGGGCTACTATAATGAAGAGTTGACTATCAATGACTAGAGGTTTGCAGATGACAGTGGAAGTGCCTACGGAGGAAAGATTTGAGGAAAGCTGTATGAAACAACGGCTTGAAAACCACCAAAATTATGGAGTACCAGTTTATTATGCCATGAGAGATTAGAGATGCACCGATTGCAATTTTCTTGGCCGATTCAGATTTCCATTTTTTTTGTAAGTGTGACCTGCCGATACCGATTTTTGCAGATTCCGATTATCTTTCTAAAAACTATAATTGACAGCATATACAAACAAAAATCTGTACTTTTTTAATGCAAAAAAAAATATTTTAATCATAAATTATTAAACATTACAATTCCCCCAATCAGGACAAAGTTAAACAACTTAACTCTCAAAATAAAGTGATCTGTGACTAGAAAAGAAGTAGAAATAACAATTAACTGAAAAGGAGTTGCTGTATATAACAAAACAGATGTCATTTCCCACTGTTTCTTAAATTGTAATTTTTTCACTAACCTTATTAAATGTGTCATCTTTCACATCAAAATCTTAGATTGTTTCAATTAATTCAGTTAGAACAATAATAAGAAACTGTAGAATTGTTACCTAAATTGTTTTTTTAAAACCTACAAATAAGAAATGTTGGGAAAAATGCAATGATAGTTTTAATCAAACCAAACCAGTAGGTGGTGGCAAATGAATGGCAATGAACGTTTGAATGAGTGAGTCATTTAGTCCTTCATTAAACAGATTCAAATGGCTGATTCATTCAGAAACAAGGCAAGTAACTAATTTACTGTCTTTATGAATGGGTTACTGAATCATTGACTCACTTGATTCGTTCAAAAACGTGGATTCATTCAGTAACGAAACACCGCTGTGTTGCTCGGAGACACAAAACAGTTCTGCTGTGGCTATGATTGGAACTATTTTCATCAGCGAAATTGAGAAAAACAGTCAATATTGTGTCTAAAATGTAAGTCACTTAATTTTAAATTCTTGTTTATTGAACTACTATTGTATAAAATCACATTGCAATTGTGTTGAAACATTTTGGTCGTGTAATGTACCTAAATCATATATTATACATTTCTTATTATTTTACTACCGCAGTATGCATCTATAACTTTCTGTGTGTGCTGTAGAGTCTCTCTCACACACTCACTCAGGCTGCGCGAGCCTCATCTGGCACGACATAAACACATTATCAGTCGCCGTAAGTGTGACGTCAGAACAGACCTGCTCAGAACTTTGTCGAAGAAAAAAAAAACACAAAGTGGCGAAGTCGTGCAGTCCGTGACGGACAGATCATTAACAGCTGGTCTATGTGTTAATTACAGTACATCAGAGTCAGGACATGCAAACGTTCATTTCGATCATCGACCTCAAATGTGGCTTATCATCTGAAACATGTAAGTTGCAGCATCATTACATGGCTGCTCGCTCTAACATTAACCTAGAAAAATGTGTGCTACTGAAGTGTTTGTGCGGAGTGTGGAAACTAAACAGTAGCGCGGTGCGATCATTTGCATTTAACTTAAAACACTTTTTTGTCATTTTTGCTCATACAGATCAAATATGCGTCAAATATGCTAAAAAAAAATAAAAGAAACAAAACTCTGTTTTTGCCCAACAGATATGAAATATATATCTATAAAAAGTGCAATGTCTTTATTTAAATGAACCAATTCAACTGAAAACAAATATTTTCAGATTATGTAATTTGTATGAAACATGCACGTCAACTGTGGAGATGTCGACTTCATCACTGCAGCCGAAAATACAGAAAACATCAATCAATAAATTATTATAATGTTAAGGCAGTCTCCTCACTGTTTTTCTCTGACGCATTCATAATCATTACTTCTGCCGGTGCGCTGTGGCAAGCTTTATGTGTGCGCTTGAGCACTGAAAGGCTATAGGCAATTAAAGGCTCATTATTATGAATTATATGGTTTATTAATATAAACGTGTGATTAGTCGACTAATTAGTCGATCAGAAAAATCTTTAGTCGAGGGAAGCCCTAAAAAAAATATTTTGCTGAACAACAGTTTGTGTTATAAATGAAACCGAATCAACTATAAGAGCTGAAACTGTCTGGAAACAGTATTGTGTGTATTATTGTATGATTTAGATTTAGGCATGTACACAACAGTTCCACTGCTGTTTGCTTACTTGTGATATTATCAAAGTTCCTGAACTCCATTTGGACGTGATCCCATTCCATGAAACTGCACCTGCCTACGAAAGGCTGGCCGAACACGACAAACTGGTCACCACCAAACCCAAAAGCCTCGACTGAAATGGACTGAAAGTCTAGAGACTTCAACAACGAAAAATCTGTAGAACAAACAGACACATGTTAAGCCTTTTTTTCCATTTAGAGTCAAGAAAACACAAAGCGGTCTGTGATATTACCAACCTGTTGTTATGCAATCAAATGACTGCGCCACAAGGTCATTGATCTTCTTGCCCTGGTAAGCTTCAGGGCCATTGCAGAAGATCTGATCCACAGTTGCATTTGTATGAAACATCCAGTCGACTAACCACTTTAGCTTACAGTCACAGCTGAAAAGATTACCTCTCAGATCCCTGGACAAATGGAAAGAGATCCCGTCTAGACAATAAATCTCTTAAATCACTGACAGTTATTTAAATGATGTTGCATTGCTAAGACATCACACACTTGAATACATACACTTTAGTCAAAGCTTCCATCCCTTTGAAAAGATCTTTCGGTAGTGTCTCCAAATTATTGTACGCCAAACTTCTGCAATAACATTCGTAAAGAACCAAATGCTTTCATCAGTAAAGAGAAATGCCCAATTTTTATGTTGTGCAAAGGTCTCATGAAGAATGCAACCTGGATTGCTGACTACTTCTATTAACAGTGAAATAGCATGAATAATCCACTAAGAAAATGGTCCTATTATGACTGCAATGTTTCACTTGCAAAGGACAGATAATGTGGATGAACAGAGAGCTGATCAACAACATGCCAACGGTATTATGCAGAAATACTCACAAATGTATTAAGGACTTGAGTCCTCTGAAGGCGAACGGCGATATGGACTTGATTTGGTTATTTTCAATGAAACTGGAAGAAAAACAAACCGCAAAGTCAAGTTGATGCACAATGCAGAAGACTCCAGTCGTTATGTTGAATCATCAGCTCAACATGTTTCCTCATGCAGTGTTTATTACTCATAAGAATCACGTTCCGTGAGACACTTACAGATACTCCAGATGAGGAAGACCAAGAAACGCATCTTCATTTATAGAATCAAAGTTGTTTGCTGTGAAAAGTCTAGGAGATATAATACAGGGTGAATACAGGTAAGTGGAAGAACTCGTATAGTGGGACACTGAGGGGTATTTGTCTCTGTATAGGTTTGTGATTGCAGTACTAAAAATCAGCATTACATTGATCTGAAAGTATGGGATCACACACACACAGAAGGTTTCTACATTTCAGGAGGTGTCACCACATTTTGACAGCTGTGGTTTCAGACATGACAAAGGTAAAGAGTCCAATAATAGTAAGGTTATGCAATAGCAAAATGTGATTTTGAGTAGATTATTATGAAATATTTTGATATAGCATATAACAGTGAATCAGATTTTTAAAAAATCTATCGTTTAAAACATTGGGCAGCAGTGTTTATTGGCCAGCTTATGATAATGTACAGTATTCTTGGCTAACTGGGACAGCAATGTCATTTTAACGGAGGGGTATAAATTCTCAAGTAGTGAAGATATATAATATATCATTTATCCCATTATATACTTTATAGAATATATTTTCAATCATATTTTCCAAGAGCTAGCTGTTCTGTTTATCAATAAAGGTGTCCCAGTAAAATTTCAAAGTAACATTTCATGTGCTTGAGTAAGGTTTTTTTTCTTAAAGGGTCATATGATGCTATTTTAAAGATCATTATTTTGTGTATTTGGTGTAACAGAATATGTTGACATGCTTTAATGTTCAAAAAACACATTCTTTTTCAAATACTGTACATTATTGTAGGTCCTCTATGCCCCGCCTCTCTCAAACGCTTCGTCACACGCACGCACACACTCACGCACTCACACACACACACTCACACGCACACACACGCACTCACACACACACACACACACACACACCTTTTTAATCTGTTTAGCTTAGTGAAGGTCTTTAGCTATTTTAAATAACACTGTGTGAGGAATATATTTTAAAACATGCTAATTATTAAAATTGCCCTGCTCTCCTTGTATAGAGAATGGGAATGTGTCGTCACAGCGGCAATGCATTCTGGGAATTTAGCTAGAGCGGAGACTGAATAGTAGTGAATTTTATATTATTTAATGTTTATATTATTCTACTTAAGATCACGTTATAGTGGTTAAGGCTTACTGTATCATTAATTGCCATAGCCCTTTGCACGGCCGGTGTGAAAAACGTGCGTTTTCTGCGTTAGAAAGCCGAAAAAGCAGAGGTTTTCCTGCAGACATTGATAAGGGCTATGACAATTGATGATACAGTAAGCGTTGAGTCATATAAACATAAAATAATATAAAATATCTACATTACAGAACTCGGATGGAAGTTAAACTGAAACTCGGTATGGTAAACAACTCAAATAAAATGTGGCTTTATAATTCATCTCTGTAGATTTATTATATTATAGACACAGTGATTTGCATTAAACTGTAAGCCCTCACACCACAAACAGAAGAAAATCATATACGGAAATGCTATCTTGCGGCAGCTCGGTGATACCCGGCCACTTGTTTGTATGGATTAAGTTTCATTCATTCATTTATTTATTTGATTGCTTGCATCGTTGTTCGGCATCTCTAATAGTAAGAATCTTCAACTTGGTTCATTCAAGTCAAGGTATTTAACTGCATAGCATCCACAATACACATCGTTTCAAACCCCTGTATAATGGCTTAATTCTTAACACTGAGCAGTACTGGGCAATATGATGATATATAACCATGATAAATGTGTCCTTGGAGCACAAAAGCAGTGTTAAGCCGCTGGGGGATATTTGTAGCAATAGCCAACAATACATTGTATGGGTCAAAATTATTGATGTATCTTTTTATGCCAAAAATCATTAGGATATTAAGTAAAGATCATGTTCCATGAAGATATTTTGTAAGTTTTCTACCGTAAATACATCAAAACTTAATGTTTGATTAGTGATATGCATTGCTAAGAACTTCATTTGAACAACTTTAAAGATGATTTTCTCAATATTTAGATTTTTTTGCTCCCTCAGATTTTCAAATATTATCATATCATAACAAACCACACATCAGTGGAAAGCTTATTTATTCAGCTCTCAGATCATGTATAAATCAAAAAATGTACCCTTATGACTGGTTTTGTGCTCCAGGGCCACAAATGATCCACCGTTTGAGATCTAGCTATAGTGTATTCTCCCCTTACAAAATTAGCCATGGTTTTGCTGCTCTAACCATAGTCCATCCGTGGTATTTCTAATAAAATTGTGATATAAATATGCCAAAAACACAGGCTACACGTTTACTACAGTAAAACCATGGGTTATTTTCATAAGTGTTTTAGCAGTTAGCCTATATCAGTACCACTGTAGTGAAGGAGACGAAATAGTCATGAATATTTGCAGCCTCTCAGACAAACAACAGAGCGATGTTTTTTTATTTAAAGAGCGTTACATATTAGATTCCCATTCTCTATTCACTATAAAGAGACTGGTCCATGAACAGATGCAGCTCTACATGCGTGTGGACACTCACGGACTACATTGAACTAATTACCCTTGCAAAATGTACCATGATAACCACAGCTTCTGACAAAATACCATAGTATGCAGCTAATATCATTGCATATAGTAAAACCGTTTAAATTTGGGGTAACATTTTATTTTAAGGTGTCCTTGTTACACATGTACTTATTATTATAATAACACTTAATTATGCATAATTACATGCAATTAAACCTAAGACAAACCCTAACCATATAGTAAGTACATGTAGTTAATTAATATTACTCGGTACTTAAAGGTATAATTACACTGTAACAAGGACACCTTAAAATAAAGTGTAACCAAATTTGGTTATAAACTGTCTTGGTTTGGAGATTTCATATTTATAATATTTATAAGCTTACCTATTGTCTGGTGATTGTATTATAGGTATAATGCATAACACTGTTATATGTTGATTATTTTTATAATGCATTTTACTCATTTAAAGTGTAAGCACGTCTGACTATATTTATGATAAAGCAGTTTGTATTGTGTATCATAAGGTATTATGAACACCATTCTAATGCATTATATATACATACAATCTGTACTGATCAGACAAAGCATGGGTTGACATCTATAACAACGCTCGCTCTCTATCTCTTTGTGTGCGTGTGTGTGTGTGTGTGTGTGTG